GACCCGGCTGATGACACCACGCGACGACCGATGTGGCATGAGTTTATTTGTATATGTGCAATTCATCGTTGTACATGGGCTGGGATACTGCCAGGGCGCCCACACCTAGAGAGGACCTGGTGGGCAAGTAGCACCAACAGCACCCAGACTTTTCGTACGCTTTTGATACTCCTTTACTATGTCAAAGGTTGTCTACCTCTCAGTCTCCGCCACTCTGAAATAGGCAAGGCAAACGGCACTCTCTTTGGGAAATGAGGGTTTGGCATGCACAATATATGACCTAACCAAAACAGCTTCTGGTGCTTATATGAGGCGAGATGGCTCAGTGGTTAGAGCGCGAATTTACTGACCGGAAGGTGTGTGTTTCGAACCCGACGTCTGCCTCTCGACTTCCTCTGTCTTGGCTTGAGCAACTTAGCAGTATCCCAACCCTCGTGCTTCTATCTGGTGGTATGGCAGTTAGGCACCGTCCAGCGTCAAGCGTGGACTGCATATGAGTGGCAGCCGGTAGCCACGATACCACGAAGCGGTGTGGAGGTAAAAGTGTAGTGCGATGGGAGCATAGAGAGAGTAGGGTTTTTTCTGGGTAACCAACAAGTTTATATTTATGAAAGGAGGAACGCATGGTAAGAATCCACGAGAGTGTCAGTTATTGATCCGCGCCATCGGTAAATGATGGTGATGTGTGTCTTGGCTCAACTTAGCAGTATCCCAACCCTCGTGCTTCTATCTGGTGGTATGGCAGTTAGGCACCGTCCAGCGTCAAGCGTGGACTGCATATGAGTGGCAGCCGGTAGCCACGATACCACGAAGCGGTGTGGAGGTAAAAGTGTAGTGCGATGGGAGCATAGAGAGAGTAGGGTTTTTTCTGGGTAACCAACAAGTTTATATTTATGAAAGGAGGAACGCATGGTAAGAATCCACGAGAGTGTCAGTTATTGATCCGCGCCATCGGTAAATGATGGTGATGTGAGCAAATTGGATTCGTAGCTGGCACGCCGCTGGAGGAACCATGTGACCAGCCGACTTCGCTTATTTCAGAAGCTGGTATTGCATAAAAACCATTTGCGATCAGCACATAGCTGAAGCGATCGTTTCCTACTGCCCTTACGTAGGTAGTCCGTCCGAAGTCGATCACCTTGATGGGTTTCAGATGCGCCAAGCCTTCCCGCTTTGCGTTCAGATCTCCTTCAATGACTATGATATCTGAGCTTTTGGGCACCCAAGACGTCGTAAAACTTGTCTTTGATGGTGTCACGCCTACAGTCAGTTGGGAGTGTAATCAGACACATCAAACAGACATCGATCAACTTTCCGCTTGTGAGACTGCTTCACAGACGTTGCCAGACGAACTACAAACAAGCGATTATCAATGGGTATCCAGTAAAGCCAGGATCCTTCCGCCTGGTAACTTAGGGCGACACCAACCCCTGAATATCCTACCGCAGCAGCCTCTGGGCAGCAAAAGCAGCTTGTTGTCCTGCTTGCTTCAGAGTGCGGACATTGAACGCGGCCAGATAGACTGCGTGTCGACGCTTGAAGATTGATTTCGAGATGTCTGAGGATGTCAACGCCGAATACCTGTCATGACTATATAACCCATACATGAACGCGGCCAGACTGCGTGTCGACGCTTGAAGATTGATTTCGAGATGTCTGAGGATGTCAACGCCGAATACCTGTCATGACTATATAACTAACCCATTTGCATAGCCCATTAACTCGTGATTCTCACTCTATTTTCAGCTCATGTACTACAGTTATTAGACGATTAAAGCGTACATTACGTCTTCCTATTCTGTCTCCTTTCTAATCCCGTCCTGGAACTACTCGACTCTCGCAACAATTTAATCGTCTAATAAAAACGAAATGGATCATATTCTCCGACCTACGGTTTTTGATGCCGATCCTCACTCATCAGATGGCATGAAACGATGGACTCATTGGTTCCGTACTTTCAAAGCTTACATTAACTCAGTCAAACCCGAAGGTCTAAATAAATTGGAAACTCTCATTCGTCACATCGACCATACAGTGTATGACTTCATCGCAGAATGCAGCGACTACGATTCTGCGATAACCTTGCTGGAAAAACTTTACATCCGCCCGAAAAATATCGTGTATGCACGCCATCTTTTAGCCACATACAAACAAGAACCTGGTCAGGATGTCGACCAATTCGTTCAAAAACTGAAATCGCTTGCTAAAGACTGTGAATTCAAAGCAGTATCTGCTGTGGAACATACAAACGAAGCAGTTCGGGATGCTCTGATAACCGGATTGCAGTCGAATACCATTCGGGAGAAACTGCTAACGTGGCATGAATTGGACCTTGACAAAGCCCATGAAGCCGCGCGAGCTCTCGAACTTGCACAAAAACAGTCACAATCATACGTATACAGACAACCCGTTACTTGTTCGGTATCTACTCCTTTACCCATTGTTAATTCCGAAACAACAGTTTCGGCCGCTACACAACAAACATGTTACTTTTGTGGCAACCCCAAGCACCCTCGTTATAAGTGTCCCGCTAAAGAATCAGTGTGCAAGAGTTGTGGAAAAATTGGACATTTTCAACGTGTCTGTAGGTCCAAAGCCTCGAAATATCACGCGGGTTCAGCTCAGGACTCCTCAATCTCCTCGCTATTTTGTGCTGCTGCTCCCAATTGCCTATCCAAAACTACAACAGATATTTTGGTCAACGGCGTTGTTGTCCGAGCTCTCATTGATACCGGCAGCTCCAGAAGTTTCGTTTCTTCATCAATCCTGCAAACTCATAACTGGGAGCTATTTCCGTACGACTCTGTGATAACAATGGCGTCGACGATACATTCATGTTCCACCAAAGGTTATTGCCTTGTGTCCATTCAGTACAAGGATGCTATATACGAACGTTTCAGACTTTGTGTATTACCGAACCTTTGTGCAGACGTCCTTCTCGGACATGACTTTCTGGGGTTACATGATAAAGTCGAAATTCCATTCGGTGGTCAACGGGGTACCCTAACTGTATGTGGCGTAACATCCGCAAAACTGGAATCTCCATCCTTATTCACCAATCTTGCTCCAAATTACAAACCGATCGCCACAAAATCTCGTCGTCATACACCGGAAGATGAACAATTCATACAAACGGAAGTAGACCAAATGCTTACCGATGGCATAATCGAACCATCAAATTCTCCGTGGAGAGCACAAGTGCTCGTTACCCGCAATGCAAATCACAAGAGACGCATGGTGATAGACTACAGCCAGACAATCAATCGCTTCACCTACCTTGACGCTTATCCTTTACCAAGGCTCGACCAAATGATTGAAACCATCGCACGCTACACTGTCTACAGCACACTGGATCTCCAGAGTGCATATCATCAGGTTCCAATAATCGAGTCAGACAAGCCATTCACAGCGTTCGAAGCTGGGGGGAACCTATACCAGTTTCGGCGCATTCCTTTTGGAGTGACAAACGGGGTCGCGTGTTTTCAGCGAACGCTGAACAATATAATCAAAGCCGAACAGGTAAAAGACACATTCGCTTATATCGATAACGTCACTATATGCGGCAAAACGAGAGATGAACATGACCGTAATCTTAGGCATTTTCTCGATGTCGCAAAAACATACAATATTACTTTGAACGATACGAAAAGCAGCTTCGCAACTGAAGAGATTACTCTCTTAGGTTACAAGGTCTCCAAAGGTATTATAAGACCTGACCCAGAACGCATGCGCCCCATAAGAGAACTCCCACTTCCAGAGAACGGGAAATCGCAGCAAAGAGCCGTTGGTTTGTTTGCCTACTATTCACAGTGGATACCGGCGTTCTCTGACAAAATTCATCCATTGGTTAAAAACAAAATATTTCCGCTCCCGGAGAATGCCCGAACAGCATTTGAGAACCTTAAACACGAACTAGAAAATGCGATGGTAGTTACTGTCGACTACAATATTCCTCTCGTTGTTGAAACTGATGCGTCCGACATCGCTATTGGTGCATCCCTGAGCCAGGGTAGCCGGCCGGTCGCCTTTTTCTCCAGAACCTTGACTGCAAGCGAGAAAAATCATTCTGCTGTTGAAAAAGAAGCATATGCTATAGTTGAAGCGATCCGCAAATGGCGCCACTATCTCCTCGGGAGACATTTTAAATTGATTACGGATCAACGTTCGGTAGCCTTTATGTATGGGAACCAACAGAAAAGTAAAATAAAGAACGACAAGATTGAACGGTGGAAAATCGAGTTGGCAGGGTACAACTACGACGTCGTCTATAGACCTGGAACAGATAACCGCGTTGCTGATACCCTATCTCGTAACCTTTGTGCCAACATTACTGGGACGGAAAAACTTGAAGAGCTTCACAACATATTATGCCATCCCGGGGTCACGAGATTTGCACATTTTGTTCGTTCTAAGAATCTTCCTTTTTCAGTCAGCGATATCCGACGTGTGGTGTCCAACTGTTCCACTTGCTCCGAGCTCAAACCAAAATTTTGTGACACCTTTCGTGGCCAGCTTATCAAAGCCACACAACCGTTCGAACGCCTTAGTATCGACTTTAAAGGCCCACTTCCCTCAAACACTCGTAATAAGTACCTCTTAACAATCGTTGACGAGTATTCTCGATTCCCTTTTGCTTATCCCTGCGCCGATACGTCCTCTTCCACTGTAATTCGTTGTTTGAGTCAACTGTTTTCACTGTTTGGTATGCCTGCTTATATTCACTCAGATCGCGGTTCTGCATTCATATCAACTGAACTCAAACAATTTTTGTTCGATAAAGGCGTTGCCAGTAGTCACACCGCTGCATATAATCCACAATGTAATGGTCAGGTTGAACGACTTAATGGTACCCTTTGGAAGACCATCTGCCTGGCTCTAAAATCGCGCGGCTTGCCTGTCACACATTGGGAGGCTGTCCTCCTTGATGCTCTTCACTGTATCAGATCCCTGTTATGTACTAGTATCAACTGTACCCCACACGAACGTTTTATGCCGTTCACACGACGATCAGCCAACGGTGCCTCCCTACCTACCTGGCTTACTGTCCCTGGGCCAATCCTTTTAAAACGCAATGATCGAGTCTCTAAATATGACCCTCTGGTAGAGGAAGTGGAACTCGTCTCTTGTAATCCACAGTACGCCCACATAGTTCGTCCAGATGGCAAACACGAAACCGTATTCTTGCGCCGCTTGGCTCCCAAAGGCAACGACATGACATCCGACACAGAACAGGAACCAATACATATCGCCGAACAAGGGGAGCCTCACACAACACCAACAATCCACCGTGGTTGCTCAGAAACTGAACTCTTGCCTATTAACGATGCCTCGCCATCCCATTCTAGTGCAGATCCAGGAAATCACTTGGACATTCTTATCCGACAACAGCGCACTCACCCATATAATCTACGCAACAGAGAGGCGTAAACGACTCCATGTAACTATTACAGCCTTTTATTTTTTACATTCTTTCTCCGCAAAGTATACACTTATTCCAAGGCGGGGAGAATGTCATGACTATATAACCCATACATTTGCATAACTCATTAACTCGTGATTCTCACTCTATTTTCAGCTCATGTACTACAGTTATTAGACGATTAAAGCGTACATTACGTCTTCCTATTCTGTCTCCTTTCTAATCCCGTCCTGGAACTACTCGACTCTCGCAACAATACCGCGCGAATGTTGCTTGCGAAACCGATGCGGGATGAATGGAGTCACCCGTTCTAAGTGGTGGGCCTACAAGGACAGAGCTGATAATGGGGTGGAGAGACGGGGAAGAAAAAGTATGTAAGAAAGAAGGGAAGCGCCAGCAGTAGCCTGTTCCTGCTTACCGACCCTGCTGTGTGCAATGAGTGAGGTGGCCCGACTGATGACACCACGCGAAGGCGGATGTGGCATAGGTCTATTAGTGAGCGTGAAATTCATGGTTGTACGTGAGGGTCCTCGACGAAAACCGCCCGCTCGGCGGTGTTTGCCTTCCAAGATGGAATCCACATGACCCCTCCCCCTGTGCTTGGCTGGAAGACGCTGAACGATATGGTGGATAACCGGCATCGGTAGCCCTTATACTATCAGTTTTTATCGAGTTTATCTGACGATATGCTGAGGGTGTAAGCAATTGGGATGTTTGTGATAGATCTTTGGCCCTTTTACCTGCTCCATTTTTATTTCTTCTTTCGATTATACGGCTTTGTTGAAACGAACTGAAATAGTTGTACACCAACGAAGCACCGGCATCTTCATTTTGTGTTGCTCTCAATGATGATTGGTATGATAACCAGTCACGGTAGACGCTGGTTCCGCTTGCGTAGCCCACAACCCAGCCACCGCAGTTGACGGTGCCAGATGTTGTCCGCGACTGAAGTGCTCGCCGCACAAAATGCCCGTATTCCACCACCTCATTAGAAATTCGTTGAGGATATATCACATTGACAACGCTCCCGAGACAACGGTTGTTAAAAACTTGAAGATACCTCACATCTGTCAACCCAAAATTATACAACTGCACAGACCTTATTGTAGTCTGAACAGAAAACGCTTGAGACCCAGTAACATGTCTTTTTGATGCAACAAGTGAGACAAATTAGCAAACGTGATTCGAGTCTTGGAGGAACATCCATTGACTTAATCAGACGCACTTCCGTCAGAGAAAATATATCCACAGATTCATGTGAAATACTCCAAAAACCCCAGTACCTTTCCTTGAATTGTGAAGGGCATGTTCGGAGACCGCACGTTCTGAAGCATGAATTTGCACTTTAAGGGTTCAAGACGCATACCGAAGTATGGTATGATAGTGGTCAGTTTATTCAACAGGATTTGTGTTCCGCCTTCGTCTTCAAAGATAAGGAAGATGTAGTTTGTGTACTCCA